AGGTAAAATGGATAAAAGTTCCACAGCATCAATCATTAATTTACTGTAATATTAAAAATTCATCATTGACTCAAATACTCAAATAAGACTTTTTTGAATCGATCTGTGGACTTAATGTTAACAATTTCGCTTGGTAATGCATTCCAGTCCTTGACAGTTCTACAACTAGCACGGACGTCGAGTGTTGTCTTGTATTATCTCTGCCTTTGAATACAGCCGTCTCTCCTTGCTCTTCACGGATAGCAGTCGACTTGTATCTAAGCAATTTGGAAGAAAATAGTTGTATTCAATAAGAGTCTTGTTTACTTTGTTGTCCAATTCAATGTCCACGTTAGTTATCTGCTGTGATTTCTTATATTAAGGGCTTTCTTATTCACGTACACAATTGTGAAAGCATTTGACCAACTAGTTGGATTATACTAAAAGTATTATTCCTCTCGCTCTCATGGCCTTTGAGTCAATAGCCCATATGGCCTTCGACCTCATGGTCTATTGACTCAGAGCCCATTCAGGCTTGAGGAATAATTATTTTATTTATTTATTACAATCTTTGAATTAAAAACCAAAGGATGAACTGTAAAGGAGTCCTAGACCCCATATAAAAACAGATCACCTAAAAATATATAGAAACACAATAAAATAATAGTTTCAGAAAATACAGAAATATAAAAGCTACTTAAAAATCGCTGAAAAATTTCCTAACTCTAGACTTAAAAAAGGACATTAGATCTGGCATATTTCTTCTTTAAAGTTAAAGAGTACTTAGCCCTAAGTTTAGAAGCGGTCAGCTTCTGAGTGGAAATCTATAATATTACTGATGTCAATATCAATGCTGCCATTTAGTACTTTATATAAGAAAGTAACATCAGCCAGTGATCGTCTCTTCTCCAGTGACAGGAGGTTTAACTTCTTCAAACGAATGTCATGGGGATCATCACTTTTTAATATCAGTTTAGTCGCTCTTCTCTGTACTACTACTACTAATAATAATTGTTAATTATTATTTGGACCAAATGAATAAGTGATAGGTTGTATTAATAAATCAAACTGTGACACTTCATGCTGACTGATCCAACGATTTTGTCACCTTGGAGTCCTGCTTCCCTTAAGAATAAAAATCCCCAAAGATGCAAAATCATAATTCATGGTACGCATTCCAGAGGACACAAAGATTGGTCAACCAATATGAAGATGTTTTTCTAGAATATCCTGTTTGCGTAATTTCTGTGGTTGTTGTTAACGATGCATATTAAATTTCTTTTAGTCTTTGTTGTACTTTAAAATAGAAGGAGTATATTTTTTATTTCAGTAAACTGTAATACAAAGGTTTGGAGTCTGTCTTCAGATTAACTCCCTGGTTACATAAAGGCCAAAGCATTTTCAATTTAGGGACGGTTCATTATTTATAAGGATGACCAGGTCAGGAAAAAAATAAAAGCTTTCCTCTTTCTTTCTAAAGCCCACCCAAAAAGCGCAATGTTTTTTTCATAGCCTGTTCAGTATTTGTGGTCAAATTTTCGAAAGCCCGTTCAATTTGACACTGATTTGAAGTGAGTAACTTGTGAAAATCATGTAATGTTTATTTACAACTGGAGCAACTAGTGTATGTTCGGATGTTTGGATAAAATACAATGACTTGGAAGAACCTTTGGAGTTTTCCAACCTCGCCAAATAGAACTCCTTGTGAAGTAAAATTTTCCGTGAAAGTGTTGGACATTTTTTTAAAGGAATAAGTTTCTACAAATCTGTGTTTAAAATGTGTTGAGAACACCTTTGCGAGACGATTCGAGAGGTCATTCAATACTATGTTCCAGGTCTCTGTTGAATCAGCAAGACATGGAAAGACTGGTAACTAATGCAAAAATTAAACGAATTTATATATTATACTACATAGCGACCTGCATTAAATTTTAAAAACATCAACTGTTTGCAAACTCAATCAAAACCATAAAATTCCTCTTGCTCTGAATCACTGTCAAAGACACCATATCTTATCACTTTCATCGATGCTATAACATTCCCGTTCGCCCAAAGTCGTGTCATGCTCTGAGTCAGGCCCACTTGACCATTCTGCAAGGACATTATCCCCCATACTTTCATTGTCTTCTGAGCCGTCAAATTCTTTGCTTCTTCCGTTTCACCTTCCTTTACTTCCTCGTCAGTAGGCTCATTTATATCTTCCTGTTGACCATCCTCCTCATGAAGCACACGCAACAAGATTCACCTTCTCTTTTCAGCTTTGGTGCAGCTGCTTATGAGTTTGTAATGTTTAAGATATTTATTGGGCTCAACATGAGCAACTTTTGTGAATCTCTAGACTCCACGAGATGGTGCCAGGCATATTCTTGAAATGTTTTGGACATCAATTTATGCTTTTGTTCTGCGCGCCCCCTTGTTCTCTTAAAAATGTCGCTTTGTTTTTTGAGATCATCTAGATGAGGAATACGTCTTGATCAAGTGCGTCTCCACAGCAAAATTCTCTGAAAACTGCTGCATCTCTTCTTCCGTTGATAACATGCCTGCACTAAACATTTTCTTTATGTTCACATGTGGTTGAAAATCATCTGGCACTTGAGGTTGCCCTTTTCTATGGTAGTTGGTGTCTCATTGACCGATTTAAAATGGGTGGGATTTTCAGGATCTGACACAGGCTGGGGAATACGTTTCATGGGCACAGGGCTTGTCCATCCTTTGTTAGAACAAAACGAACAATGTTCAGTGATCATGCACGGTAGAGCAGTCACCATACAAGTACTCCATAAAGAGCTCACCAATTTTTGTAAATGGGCTTTGATGAATTGTAGAATTTTTTTAATCTTTGCACTTCCAGGGACACATGATTTCCTATCCTGAGTCGCAGATTGGTATTTCTTGAGATTACTCTTCATCAGCCTCCTTTTTTTCAGCAGGGAGAGCAGTTATGAAATCCCCTAACACCGGCATGTCATCTACATTCTCTCTGTACCGCAATTTATCAAGTGTATTTCAATACGGATACAGTTTCCATGTGTTGTCCCACCAAATAACTGTCGTGTTTCTACCACAGTTTTAGCTTAAGTTGATTTTTTTTTCTAGCCCGTTGCCACGGAAAGAAAAATCTTCAAGGCCCGTTCGGTTTTTTCCTGATGCGGTCATTCCCATAAATAATAAACCATCCCTTAGATCTCATTTTGTTTTGAACTGGGACTCATAATTTCCCACAAGATCAGTCCCAGGATGTACACTGTACCATAACTATTTGTAACAAAATCGCTGCTGAACTGGTATAACTTATTCATGTGCTAGAAAATGCAATTTGTTTTTGATCTTCAACTGCATAACCTCCAACTTAATTTATGTGCTTTAGTGTTTCCAATTTGCATTCCACTCGTTTTATACAGAATTCATATCATCTGTTGGCCGCTGTTTGTCTAATGTTTGTTTGTTCCAGTCCCAGAACAGGGAGTAAGGAACCATTACTTTAGTTTGCTTCTTCCTCTCCCTTTTCTTTGCTTTTAGTAATGCATTTCACTCAATTAAGTAACCTCCCTATCAACTAATCCTCACTCTTTGTTAAACATGCTTAAAAAATAAGCCCCTAGGGAGCTTTATAAAGGATTTATGGGAAACCAGGTTCCACAATATAATATTGCCACATTTAAAGCTGCATGATAAACCTTAATGACCAATATTGTAAATGTATGTTATTGCCAACGAGGCAACCAAGCTAAGAAGCGAGGTTGCCTCCGCTGAAGATTCATAATTCTGTGTAACACTATATAATAATTTGAATTTTGCTTTATAATTTATGTTTAAAGCAACAGGTGATCAAAGAATAGGGTTGTCAGCTAAAATTTTTGTCGGAGCCAGTTTATTCCTTGCAGCTGGTTTTCAGTGTTCTCTTTTCCTTTGTAAACTGAATTTGAAGCAGTAGCTGTTCAATGAATAGGTTTATACTCTCAAAACTTTTATCAGAACCAATGTGTTCTTCGCAGTTCAATGTGCATTGAGCTAGTCCTCACAGTCCCTCACCTTCCGTGAGGATTGCAACGCATTTTCGGACCTTTTGTTTTTTAGAATTGAGGGATTTTGTCAACCAGCATGTTTTTTGCAGAGCGATTTGCTTGGATACAGGCCTAAACTAACGTGAGGAATGCAACGAGTTTGCGGACATTTTGTTTTAAAGACTATTGTTCTGCCTTTGAGAGTGACACTTGCTGAAGTTTTTATTTTTATACCTCTGGTACATTCTCCCCCATTCTTACGCTTTTTACACATTTTGCTTTACACCAATTTTTTCATGATGCGGAATACTGTGTTCTTACCCTGGATGATGCAGTTGATCGGCGAAAGGCAACCCTTTCTTTTGTCTGCTTCTTCCTCTTCTTTTTAGTTTTTGGTTTTGGTAATGCATTTCACTAAATTAAATAACTCTCCCTCTCAAATAATCCTTACTCTCTGTTAAACATGCTTAAAATTTACAGTAATACAGGTTCCACTATTTTCTGTATTAAAGCTGCATGATGAACCTTAATTACCATTTATAAATTATTAAAAAACAAAGGGAAGTCTCCGATCCAAATATAAGTCAGCAAATGATTAAATTAACCCTGTTGATGGATTCTCCATGTTGCATGGGTCATGTAAACTTGTACATGTAGGTATGTAGTCAGTTTATGAAAGGTCTAGAACCAGCCTTGTACCCAGGCCAGTTTGCTCTATCCGAGATACCAGAGGAGGCTTAGAACCGAATGTTCGCGACAAGCTTGACAGGTGACGTCACATCCGAAATCGCCGAGGACAACTGGGAACTAGGCTGGTCTAGAACCACGTTTTCATAGGCAGGTATCTTTAAAGTTTTCTAATTTTCCACATCTTCTTAACAACCTTCAGATCTCGCATGCCCTTGCTACAAAGTTGGGGCACCAAAACAAAATGTCATTGTGCACTTACCTGAGAATGTTTCTTTTTCCTGCCAAAGGGTACCGTAACTATAACACGTTACAAGAAGAACAAACTCAATGTCCTTTAAGTGCCTGCAGTGCAGCAAGTGCTTTAGTCTAGCAGGACACCTAAGGGAGCATGAAAGAGTTCACACTGGGGAAAAGCCCTATGAATGTAAACAGTGTGGCAAGTGTTTTACCCAAGCAGGAAGCCTAAGGACTCATGAAAAAGTTCACACTGGGGAAAAGCTTTGTGAATGTAAACAGTGTGGCAAGTGTTTTAGTCAACCAGGAACCCTAAGAAGGCATGAAAGAATTCACTCTGGGGAAAAGCCTTATGAATGTAAACAGTGTGGCAAGTGTTTTAACCGAGCAGGACACCTAAGGATTCATGAAAGAGTTCACACTGGGGAAAAGCCTTACAAATGTAAACAGTGTGGCAAGTGCTTTAGCGTAGCAGAAGACTTAAGGAGACATGAAAGAGTTCACACTGGGGAAAAGCCTTTTGAATGTAAACAGTGTGGCAAGTGTTTCCGTCAAGCAGGAAACCTGGGGAGGCATGAAAGAGTTCACACTGGGGAAAAGCCTTACGAATGTAAACAGTGTGGCAAGTGTTTTAGCCAAGCAGGACACCTAAGGAGTCATGAAAGAGTTCACAATGGTGAAAATCCTTACAAATGTAAACAGTGTGGCAAGTGCTTTAGCGAAGCAGAAGACTTAAGGAGACATAAAAGAGTTCACACTGGGGAAAAGCCTTTTGAATGTAAACAGTGTGGCAAGTGTTTTCGTCAAGCAGGAAACCTGAGGAGGCATGAAAGAGTTCACACTGGGGAAAAGCCTTACGAATGTAAACAGTGTGGCAAGTGTTTTAGCCAAGCAGGACACCTAAGGAGTCATGAAAGAGTTCACAATGGTGAAAGTCCTTACAAATGTAAACAGTGTGGCAAGTGCTTTAGCGGAGCAGAAGAGTTAAGGAGACATGAAAGAGTTCACACTGGGGAAAAGCCTTACAAATGTAAACAGTGTGGCAAGTGCTTTTGCAAGTGTTTCCGTCAAGCAGGAAACCTGAGGAGGCATGAAAGAATCCACACCCTGGTTGAGTCACGTAAGTGTTCCTGGAAAAGCAAAAGTTTGTCTAAACGTTTGGAATTTTGCAAGTGGAAGAGACCGGGAGGTAAAAACGTTAACGTTAGCAGAGCCATAGGTTTTACAAATAACCTTCAAACACAGAGGGAGACTGGAAACATTGATCTAGCAGATGCACAATTGGTCATCTTTGAGAATTACAGCTGTTGGATTTGTCAAGAGGAGATGAGTAGTGAGGCTCTTCTTCTTCAACATTATGAAAACCATATGACCTATGTTTGTGAAGATGACTCTTAAGTTAATCAAAGTAAAAACTATGGGGAATTCTGTAGGCTTCTGGAGGAGGGGGTGCATCAAATTACCTTGCACCTTTTTTTTACTATTGTCGCGGAAGACTGCCCTCACGAAATGAAATTGTGGGCAGGGGTGGCAAAGCAAAATCTAAAAATAAAAGGCGTACCATGTTGGTTTACCTCAAACCGTTAGCTTAACTGTTTGGTCTCTATCGATCTTGCCGCATCTCCACAGGCACCGGAGGGTTGTTGACCAATGATTTCAAACAAAGTGAATTAGTGATACTTTGCTTACAATGTTTATGTAATTGCAAAATCGTTCTGAATTTTTTGCCACGGCTGAGCAGTTCTTAACATAGTTCACCAGAAAATGGGCCGAAGAAAGCAAGAACGGGGGCCACTGCCATATTTTGTCAATCTACGAATAACTCTGTTCTAAAACTGCCTCGAAAAGAAACTGAAAGTGCCATAAGTGAAGATTTTCGGGCTGGAGAATTATGTAAGAACCTTGTTTTTTACTGGTAAATTTAGAAGTTAGAGATTTATTGAGGCCCATCTCATCTGTTTAGTGTCACGTAACTAGAGAAATGTAACTTACATGTACTATCCCTGGGGGTACTCTTAGGAATTCTTGTTGTGGCGCCCAGTTCTGTAAAACCTGACGCTATTTGGGACCAAAAATGTCATTTTGAGACCCGTTTTCAGACCAGACCTTTAAAATCCATACCCGTTTTCAGACCTGGCCTTTAGGCATTTCGAATTCGCATATTTCTATTTCGTTCTTTTTCGTTTTTTTTTTGTGGGTTTTGAGAGTTCTAGGTCAGGGCTTAAATCAGAGTGCGCGGATATTTTTCATCAGAGCTTTCTCTGGTTGTCACGCCATACTGAGGAGCCCCAAAGAGGGCGAAACAACTGTCTATGGCTACAATCCCGCTCAGTTTTGAGTTCTTTCGGTGTCGTGTTGATGTCTTGCAGAGTTAATTTTCACGTAGTACGATCGGCATTGCAGTGTTCTGCTTGCAGAATTTAATATGTCTACGATAAGTACGTTCATACGCTCCCGTAGTTCCCTCATAAACCATAGTCGATTCCAGAGAAAAATTTACAGCCGTTTTCAGGCCAAAAAGGTCCAAAAACCATACGCTTTGGGGCGGTACATACCTATATGGCTTATATAAGGGGTTTTTCCACCCCCGGGGGTACTTTCTAACATACTAATTTTTGCATCGTTCATGTGTTTGCTAAGAAGCCCCCAACTTGGAACACTACTGAAAGATCTTTATGATCAGCAGGAAACTTTGTGAATAATCAGATTGCCAACTTTCCTTCTATTTTACTTGCCATTATGAAACTACGTACATAAAGTAGTCTATTTGCCATATAATCAATTTTGAAGGTCCAAGATTTTGCCAATTGTGCACATTTCCATTTTTCTTAATGCTGCCGCCCTCAAAACGCTCGCAATGTACTCTCAGAAAACCTCATTCTCCCAACACCCCCTCCTCTCCAAGAAACAAGTGCAGTCATTTTGGCCCGCCTTCTCGTTGGAACGCAGTCTCCCATAAAAAAAAGCTGGCTACGGGCCTGGCTGAGGATAATTCTTTGCAATAACCTCTTGCCTCCTCCCACATCTCTGGCCTCAGATCTTTAGCGCCGCTGTATCTCAACCAGGAACGAAGAACACACCGAACAACTACCTGCTACGCAGGCTACTGCAAGTAGTAGTGGAGAACTGAACTGCTCGCTTAGTAACTGACGTTTTTGCTGCATTTTGCAGGCAGGAGCCCATAACCCGGAGCGTGCAAACCCCATACCAGGCCTCTGTCACGGCGGTTTTAGTGACCAGTTTGTTTGTTGACGTATTTGAAGGCAATTTTTCCCGCGAAAATGGAATCTCCTCCATGAACGCATTAGAAGTATAAGCTATCAAAGAGGAAAACGAAACGTCATTAAAAGGCAAAAGTTATCATTTTTAGGGCTGTAGGTTTTCCTGACTGGATACCGTAGAATTTTGAAAATAAGTCCCGGGGCTTCTATTTTTCAAAAGCCCTTTTTTAGGGGCAGATTTTTGGAGGAGCCTATATTCGGAAGGGCTTATATACGGAGGGAAATTTGCGTTTCAAAATCGGCCAGGCTTATACTGGGAGCGAAATTTACGTCTCAAAATCGATTGGGCTAGCTTATGGTTGGAAGCAAACTTTATCAGTAATTTGCAGAAACTAGCCTTGAGAACGTAGATCTTACTGAAACTAAGCCATGCCTTTACTTTGTCTATATGGAACGAGGAAATCCAATCCAAGAGTTAAGAATGAACTATGCAAACAGCAATATAGTGTGACACATTTTGACTGCAAGCATTTGGCACACGTAATAGTTCTTTGGCAAATGCAAAAAATTTTGTGTTACTGTACAGTTTTTGCTTGAATTTGAGGGCAATTTGCTAGTACAAGCCCCCGGGGGGGGCTATATTTGGAGGGGCGATATAACGAACGGGTTTTGGGGTTACGAGTTTGGGGGGCTTATATTTGGAGGGGCTTATTTTCGGAATTTTACGGTATTCTAAATTCGCGCCAAGAGCGTTCTAATGGGCTCCTGTCGCAGGCGAGATTTCTGCGTTGTTTGAGATACCTCTGGGCATGTGTTAAAAGGCGCGGGTCAGTCATTTAGAAATAAAGGTCCCTTATAACGTCTTACTCGGAGACACTACTAATGGAAATAACGTTTCAGCGAAAAACAGTGCAGTAGCAATGTTAGATTTATTTGGGGGAGAGGGGGGTAATCACGAGCGCCGAAGGCGCGAGCGTCCGGGGGCATGCTAGCCTCTCAACGTTCTTAGGGGTTCGTCACGCGTTCGTGGGAGAGGAATGATTGCGTGACGAACCCGTAAGAACGTCTGCGTGGGAGGCTAGGGGCATGCACTCCTGGAAGATTTTGAAATATGGGGTCTCTGAAACAGCATTTTAAGCCTTCCGAGAGTATTTATTCTCCATTTAAGAAGTGTACTTTGTTTAATACGCGCTTCATTTTTCTTTGTTCAAGACATAAATAAATTTCAGGCTTTATCGAACTGAAATGAACACATTGAACCGAAGAGCAGCGTGGAGGGCGTGGCCGCTGACCAAATTAAACGTGCCTGTCAAAATTATTGGGGGGACCCAGGCGTCCCCGGCCCCTCGCCATTCTACGGCACTGAAAAATCAGTAAGAAACAGTATTATATACTATAGTATTCAACCCGGAGCCAATGAATTTTCGAATCAAAGCATAACCTTGAATGTACAGGAAATGCGTTACCGTCGAAGGCCAGGGAACTCAGGGAAGTATCAGAAGTCAAGCCCGCGGGCGCCCATTCCTTTTCTTCGCTTTGCGGGTAGGTTACGAACCCAGCCCACCCCAATCACTTTTAGAAAATTATAAAAAGGCAATGAGGAAGTAAACAAAAGAATAAAACGAAAAATATATAGACAAATATATTTCAAAATATATATTTTTTGTTTTAAGGACCAGTTTGCTTTGTTTATGATTTTGTACAAGTTACAGGTCTACAACTGAGAGGTCCGCCACCATTCAACGGTTTGTTGCTTGGACTTGGTGACATTTTATATTTTGGCACCCCGATCTTTGCGTGAATCGCTCATATATTTGGAAAATGGTTTACCCGTGCATGAAAGATATGATGACTAAAAGTAAATGCGTTGAAAGTAAAGTTATCCAATTTCTTAGCCGTTATTAAAAAACTATAGTCTTGCAATAGAGGTACCATCACGCAAGACGTCTAGCGAAATAAAATGAAATAAAGTTAAAAGTAATTATAGCAGTTACAAAATCTCCTACTAAAGATAAAATGTATAATAACATCATAGCATAAATTATGTAAGAGATAAAGCCCGAGAACGGATGTATATGGATTAATACCGACGTTCGAGGGTTTTATCTAACTTATTTCATGATATTATTCATGAGGTATAGGTTACATAAAGGTCGTCTTTCACAGGGCAATAATTGGCCACTTGTTTTTGACATCTGTTTGTTTGTCATTTTTTGATCCGACCGCAGACAATGACGTATTTCATTGTAAGTATTGAAAAGGCTTTCACACAGCATCGAGAAAGGGCGTTTCACGGGTCATAATTTGTTCAAACCACTTGTTCTCACTTAGGTGAGAAACGGAGAACAATAGCGCATTGTTTGTTTGCTAAGCCGGCAACAATCAAATTTCAAACCTTTTGTGTTTTTTTATTTTTGTCTTGGTATTTTGTGGGGGGCCAGTACACTTGTGAGAGCGGCAATGAATAGTGACGACGAAATTTTCCTAACGCAAAATACTTTCTCTCAGGAGCCTTTTTCCTCTGAGTTGAATTTGGAAGAGTTAGTGGGAGACTTTAGAGAAGTAAGCGAACGAGATAGTGTTGAAGTCGAAAAGAAAGAAAATCCTGGGCGTAATATCGTTGTTGTTTGTGATAACGAAGTCGAGAAGAGAAGAGATCGAGTCCAGAATACCGGCAAACACGAAAGTTAATACTTCATGGGCGGTACGTTGCTGGGAGGAATGGGCCGTTGAACGCAATGTAAAGGTTAAAAGGAATAGCAGCAAAGAGAAATACTACGAAGTCAATCCTGACATTAAGAAAGTCGCCAATGAGCAGTTTGACTACTGGCTTGGGAAGTTTGTTTTGGAAATTCGGAAGAAGAAAGAACCTGGAAGCGTGTAAGTGACGTCGAAATTTTCCAAAGACTTAAAATTTTCTTAGAGTGAACACATAGCCTGCATGATATATGGGATACTACTGTATTTTCTATAGTTGCAGAATAAATTTCTATAGTTGTGTTAAAGGGAGAAATTTTCTCAGAATGTTTGGCGGGGTCAAAGGACGTGTATGATTTGCTGTAATTGCTCATTATAAATGGAAGGGATTTATTTGTATATTGCCCAGGGCAGCAGGGCAATATACAGATAAATACCGGGTATTTATATAGATATTGCCCTTGCATTTATAATTAGCAATTTATTCAATTCATCAGCCCCGCTCTTCCCTGCTACATTATCAAGCCCTCCCCGGACTTTCAGTTAGTCAAATATTCATGAAGTCTGTAAGTTAAATAAAGGATGTTGAATAACAAAAGAAAATGTGTGATTCATGAAATAATGTACAATATAAACTTAATGTTTACAATTTCGCTTGGTAACGCATTCGAGTTAGAAACTGATCACTAAACAAACAAACAAACCAAAAAAGGAAAACCCGTCACCCGGGCCCACACTGATCTAGCTTAGGTCCCCACTCCCCACGAGTTTAACACGGATTTATTACCATCAACCTCGTCCCCAGGGTGTCCCCAGGGTCATTTCACTTTCCAATATGGCGGCGACAGGAGAGCGAGAAGACCCTGGGTACGAGGTTGTGTGAAAAGCAAAATGGCCGCCATCAGAACTTGATTTATGAATCCTTCAGTTCTTGGTTTTATCTTCCCTCGTGTGCTTTGATCAAATCGACAAGGTCTTGTTACTAAAGGTAAGAAAGTTTTCAATACATTATGGATATATTCAGTTGTGAAAGTGAAATGATAGCGGCTAACTACTCGGACGAGAACACACACAGATGATCCCGAGTCCTACTACTTTCGGGCTCGATGTGGGGCCATCAGATCCCAATAACAACGGACCTGAACTTGCTTTCCCAGATACAAATATCTATTTTTTTATGATTCCAAGCTTATTACGTTGTTTGGTATCTGAAGGTTTCAATAAGCTTTAAACTTAGCTTTTCATGTTTTACTATAATAATTGCATGTTTTACTATAATTGCATCTAAATGACCTTTGGCCACCTATGTTCAAAAATCTGTAGTCTTGCAACAGGGTTGCCATCACGCAAGATGACGAACTGAAGGTAATGAAATAAAGTTAAAAGTAATGACGTGAAAAAAATTTTCTACAAAAGATAAAATGGATAAAAATTCCACAGCATCAATTATTATGTAATATTGAAAATTCATTATTGACTCAAATATTCAAATAAGACTTTTTTGATTCGATTTGCGGACTTATTGTGAACAATTTCGCTTGGTAATGCATTCCAGTCCTTGACAGTTCTACACTTAACACACACGTCGAGCATTGTCACATATTATCTTTGCCTCTGAATACAGCCATCTCTCCTTGCTCTTCACGGATAGCAGTCAACTTGTACCTAAACAATTTTGAAGAAAATAGTTGAATTCAATAAGAGTCTTGTTTAATATGTTGTCCAATTCAATTTGCCCATTAGTTAAAAAATTATCTGCCGTGATTTCTTGAGGACTTTCTTATTCACGTACATTGTGAAAGTATTTGACCAACTAGTTAGAGTTTACTAAAACTATTATTCCTCTTGCTCTCATGGCCTTCGACTTGATGAGCTATTGACTCAGAGCCCATTCAGGCTCGAGAACAATTGTTAATTATTATTTGGACCAAATGAATAAGGTATAGGTGGTATTAATAAATCAAACTGTGACACTTCATGTTGACTGATCCTCTGAGTTCTGCTTTCCTTAAATCCACAAAGATGCAAAATAATTCATGGTATGCATTCCATAGAACACAAAGATTGCCCAAGTGATATGAAGATGTTTTTCTAGAATCTCCTGTTTGTGTAATTTCTGTGGTTGTTGTTAATGATGCATATTAAATTTCCTTTAGTCTTTGTTATACTTTAAGATAGAAGGAGTGTATTTTTATTTCAGTGAACTGTAATACAGAGGTTTAGACTCTGTCTTCAGATTAACTCCCTGGTTAGATAAAGGCCAAAGCATTTTCAATTTAGGGACGGTTCATTATTTATAAGGATGACCAGGTCAGGAAAAAAATAAAAGCTTTCCTCTTTCTTTCTAAAGCCCACCCAAAAAGCACAATGTCTTTTTCGTAGCCCGGTCAGTATTTGTGGTCAAATTTTCGAAAGCCCGTTCAATTTGACACTGATTTGAAGTGAGTATCTTGTGAAAATCATGTAATGTTTATTTACAACTGGAGCAACTAGTGTATGTTTGGATGTTTGGATAAAATACAATGACTTGGAAGAACCTTTGGAGTTTTCCAACCTCGCCAAATAGAACTCCTTGTGAACTAAAATTTTCCCTGAAAGTGTTCGACATTTTTTTAAAGGAATAAGTTTCTACAAACCTGTGTTTAAAATGTGTTGAGAACACGTTCGCGAGACGACTCGAGAGGTCATTCAATACTCTGTTCCAGGTCTCTGTTGAATCAGCAAGACATGGAAAGACTGGTAACTAATGCAAAAATTAAACGAATTTATATATTATACTACATTGATTTATTAGATGCTGTTATAGTGACCTGCATTAAGTTTTAAGAACATCAACTGTTTGCAAACTCAATCAAAACCATAAAATTCCTCTTCCCCTGAATCACTTTCAAAGACAAACCATGTCTTATCACTTTCATCGATGCTATAACATTCGCGATCGCCAGAAGTTGCATCTCGCTCTGAGTCAGGCCCACTTGACCATTCTCCAAGGACAATATTCTCCTCACTTTCATCAGTCCCCTGAGCCATCAATTTCTTTGCCGTCGTCTTCCGTTCCACCTTCCTTTGCTTCCTCGTCAGTAGACTCATTTATATCTTCCCATTGATCATCCTCACCATGAAGCACACGCAACAATGTTCACCTTATCTTTTCAGCTTTGGTGCCGTTGCTTATGAGTTTGTAATGTTTAAGATAATTTTATTTATTGAGCTCAACACGAGCAACTTTTGTGAATCTCCAGACTCCACGAGATGGTGCCAGGCATATTCTTTAAATGTTTTGGACGCCAATTTATGCTTTTGTTCTTTGCGCCCCCTTGTTCTCTTAAAAATACTGCCTTGTTATTTGAGATCTTCTAGATGAGCAATAAACATGTATGTCTTGATCAAGTGCGTCTCTACGGCAAAATTCTCTGAAAACTGCTGCATCTCTTCTTCTGTTGATAACATGCCTGCATTAAACATTTTCTTTATTTTTACACGTGGTTGAAAATCATCTGGCACTCGAGGTTGCCGTTCTGTATGGTAGTTGGTGTCTTATTGACCGATTTAAAATGGGTAGGATTTTCAGGATCTGGCACAGGCTGGGGAATATGTTTCATGGGCACAGGGCTTGTCCATCCTTTGTTGGAACAAAACGAACAACATTCAGTGATCATGCACGGTAGAGCGGTCACCATACAAATACTCCACAAAGAGCTCACCAATTTTGTAATGGTCATTGGTGAATTGTAGAATTTTTTTAATGTTCGCACTTCCAGGGGCACGTGATTTCCTATTCTGAGTCGCAGATTGGTATTCCTTAAGATTACTCCTTATCAGCTTTGATTTTTTCAGCAGGGAGAGCAGTTGTGAAATCCTTTAACACCGGCACATCATCTACTTTCTCCCTGTACCGCAATTTATTGGGTGTATTTCAATACCAATACAGTTTCCGTGTATTGTCTCACCAAATAACTGTCGCGTTTCTACCACAGTTTTAGCATAAGTTGTTTTTTTTTTTACAGCCCAATCTCTTTGTTAAAAAAAAAAACCACAAAGCCCGTTGCCACAGAAAGAAAAATCTTCAAGGCCCGTTCAGTTTTTTCCCGACCTGGTCATTCCCATAAATAATGAACCATCCCTTAGATCTCTTTTTGTGTTTTGAACTGGACTCGTGATTTCTTACAAGATGAGTCCCAGGACGTACACTGTACCATAACTATTTGTAACAAAATCACTGCTGATCTGGTATAACTTATTCATGTGCTAGAAGTTGCAATTTGTTTTTGATCTTCAACTGCTTAACTTCCAACTTAGTTCATGTGCTTAAGTGTTTCCAATTTGCATTCCACTCGTTTTATACAGAATTGATATCATCTTCTGGCATCTGTTTGTTTAATGTTTGTTTGTTCCAGTTCCAGAACAGGAAGCAGGGAACCATTACTTAAGTCTGCTTCTTCCTCTCCCTCTTCTTTGCTTTTGGTAATGCATTTCACTAAATTAAGTAACCTTCCTATCAAATAACCCTCCCTGTCTGTTAAACATGCTTAAAACATAAGCCCCCAGGGAGCTTTATAGAGGATTTCTATTGCCACATTTAAAGCTGCATGATAACGTTAATGACCAATATTGAAAATGTATGTTATTGCCAATGAGGCAACTGCAGATTTATAATTCTGTGTCTTCCTCTATAATTTGAATTTTTGACCATATTTGATTGTAAGTAAGACCCCATATTTGGGCAATCATGACATGGTCTTTTATTTACAACTCTTGGTACGAGATTAAGTGATCCAGTGTAAAACTGATCATTATCTGCTCCTGGAGATCTAATGTGAGAGAAAGCTTTAATAGGATTTCTTGTTTGAAAGAGCTATTAGTGCTCAGGTTTGCTTTATACTTTACAATTAAAGCAACAGCTGATCAAGGAATAGGGTTGTAAGCTCAAATTTTTGTCGGAGCAAGCTTATTCCTTGCAGCTGGTTTTCAGTGTTCTCTTTCCCTTTGTAAATTGAGTTTGAAGTGGTAGCTGTTCAGTGAATAGGCTTATACTCTCAAAACGTTTATCAGAACCAGAATTTATTTTTGTCTTTCGAGGGATTTTATCAACCAGCGTGTTCTTTTTCAGATGGATTTACATTGAGACAGGCCTAACCTAACGTGAGGAATGCAACGAGTTTGTGTACATTTTGTTTTAAAGACTATCATTATGCCTTTCGAGAGAAGCACTCACTGACGTTTTTATTTTTATACCTCTGGTACATTCCACCCTATTATTACGCTTTTCACACATTTTGCTTTACACCAATTTTTTCATCATGTATATTACCATGCTGAATACCGTTTTTTCACCCTAGATGATGCTGTTGATCGGCGAAAGGCAACCATTTCTTTAGCCTGCTTTTTTTTCTTCTTTTTTTTCTTTACTTTTGGTGATGCATTTCACTAAATTAAATAACCCTCCCTCTCAATTAATAATCCTTACTCTCTGTTAAACATCCTTTAAACAAAATAAGCCCTAAGGGAGTTTATAGGGGATTTACAGTAATACAGGTTCCACTATTTTCTGTATTAAAGCTGCATGATGAGCCTTAATTACCATTTATAAATGCCTGTTATTTTACAAAAAACAGGGAAGTTTCCGATCCAAATACAAAGTCAACAAATTATTAAATTAACCCTGTTGAAGGATTCTCCATTTTGAAGGGGTCATGTTAAGTTGTACATGTAGGTATGTAGTTAGTTTATGACAGGTCTAAAACCACTTTTTCATAGGCAGGTATCTTTAAAGTTTTCTAATTTTTCACATCTCCCTAACAACCATCAGATCTTGCAGCCCCTGCTACAAAGTTGGGGCACCAAAACAGAATATGATTGTGCATTTACCTGAGAATGTTTCTTTTTCCTTCCAAAGGGTACCGTAACTATAACACGTTTCAAGAAGAACAAACGCAATGTCCTTTAAGTGCCTGCAGTGCAGCAAGTGCTTTAGTCTAGCAGAAAACCTAAGGGAGCATGAAAGAGTTCACACTGGGGAAAAGCCTTATGATTGTAAACAATGTGGCAAGTGTTTTGGCCGAGCAGAACACCTAAGGAATCATGAAAGAGTTCACACTGGGGAAAAGCCTTATGAATGTAAACAATGTGGCAAGTGTTTTAGCCAAGCTGGACACCTAAGGATTCATGAAAGAGTTCACACTGGCGAAAAGCCTTATGAATGTAAACAATGTGGCAAGTGTTTTGGCCGAGCAGGACACCTAAGGATTCATGAAGCAGTTCACACTGGGAAAAAGCCTTATGAATGTAAACAGTGTGGCAAGTGTTTTAGCCAAGCAGGAACCCTAAGGATTCATGAAAGAATTCACACTGGGGAAAAGCCTTACAAATGTAAAGAGTGTGGCAAGTATTTCAGTCAAGCAGGATACCTAAGAAGTCATGAAAGAGTTCACACTGGGGAAAAGCCTTACGAATGCAAACAATGTGGCAAGTGTTTTAGCCAAGCAGGAAACCTAAGGAGTCATGAAAGAATTCACACTGGGGAAAAGCCTTACGAATGTAAACAGTGTGGCAAGTATTTTAGCAAAGCAGGAGACCTAAGAAGTCATGAAAGAGTTCACACTGGGCAAAAGCCTTACGAATGTAAACAATGTGGCAAGTGTTTTAGCAAAGCAGGAAACCTAAGGAGTCATGAAAGTATTCACACTGGGGAAAAGCCTTATGAATGTAAACAGTGTGGCAAGTGTTTTAGCGAAGCGGGAAACCTAAGGATTCATAAAAGAGTTCACACTGGGGAAAAGCCTTATGAATGTAAACAGTGTGGCAAGTGTTTTAGCCAAGCAGGAACCCTAAGGTTTCATGAAAGAATTCACACTGGGGAAAAGCCTTACAAATGTAAACAGTGTGGCAAGTATTTTAGTCAAGCAGGATACCTAAGAAGTCATGAAAGAGTTCACACTGGGGAAAAGCCTTGTGAATGTAAACAATGTGGCAAGTGTTTCAGCCGAGCAGATCACCTAAGGCGTCATGAAAGAATTCACACTGGGGGAAAGCCTTATGAATGTAAACAGTGTAGCAAGCGTTTCAGTGTAGCAGGAGACCTGAGGAAGCATGAGAGAATCCACACCCTTGGTGAGTCATGTAAATGTTCCCGGAAAAACAGAAGTCTGTCTAAACGTTTGGAATCTGGCAAGCGGAAGAGAGCGGAAGGTAAAAACGTTTATGTTAGCAGAGGCATAGGCTTTACAAACAACCTTCAAATACAGAGGGAGACTGGAAACGCTGATGTAGCAGATGCACAATTTGTCATCTTGGAGAATTACAGCTGCTGGATTTGTCAAGAGGAGATGAGTAGTGAGGCTCTTCTCGTTCAGCATTATGAAAACCACATGACCCATGTTTGTGAAGATGACTCTTAAGTTAATCAAACCAAAAACTATGGGGAATTCTGTAGGCTCTAGGAGGAGGGGATGCATCAAATTACCTTGCACCTTCCCACGGGCTCCGGAGAGTTGTTGACCAATGATTTCAAACAAAGTGAATTAGTGACACTTTGCCTACAATGTTTATGTAATTTCGAAATCGTTCTGAAGTTTTTGCCACGGTTGAGCAGTTCTTAAAATAGTTCACCCGAAAATGGGCCGAAGAAAGCAAGAAGAGAGGCCACTGCAGATTGTGTCAATCCATGAATAACTCTGTTTTAAAACTGCCTCGAAAAGAAACTGAAAGTGCCATTAGTGAATATTTGGGCTGCAGAATTATATAAGAACCGAGGTTTTTTCATTTGAAAATCTTAAAGGTAAATTAACAAGTTAGAGATTACTGGGCATTTGGACACGGACGTCATAGCGGGAGTGGCCCATCTCATCTATCTAGTGTCACGTAGCTAGAGAAATGTAACTTACATGTACTATCCCTTGGGGGTACTCTTAGCAATTGTTGTTGTGGCGCCCAGTTCTCTAAATCCTGACACTATTTTCAGACCAAAAATGTCATTTTACACCCGTTTTCAGACCAGAACTTTAAAATCCATACCCGTTTCAGACCTTGCCTTTAGGCAGAAATTATGTCATGGTTCATTAGATCAGAGCGTAAACAAAAAATTTATTCAAATGCATTTCGAATTCGTATATTTCTATTTTTTCTCTTTCATTTGAAATTGATACGAAAAATACGTTTATACGCTCCCATTGTTCGCTCGAAAACCATACTCGATTCCAGAGAAAACTTTACACCCGTTTTCAGAGGAAACAGGTCCAGAAACCATACCCTTTGGGGCGGCACATAGCTATATGGCTTATATAAGCGGTTTTTCCCCCCCCCTCCCGGGTACTTTCTAACATACTTTTTACTGCATCGTTCATCTGTTTGCTAAGAAGCCCCCAACTTGGAACACTACTGAAAGATCATTATGATCAGCAGCAAACTTTGTGAATAAACAGATCTACAACTTTCTTTCAATTTTACTTTTGAAATTGTGGTGCCATTATAAAGTAGTCTATTTGCCATATGATCAACTTTGAAGGTCCAATATTTTGCAAATTGTCCACGTTTCGATTTTTCTTAATACTGCCTGCCCTCAAAATGCTCGCAATGTACTCTCAGAAAATCTAGTTGTCCCAACGCCACCTCCCCTCCAAGAAACAAGTGCACGTACAGTCGTTTTGGTCCGTCTTCTCGTTGGAACGCACTCTCACAGAAAAAAAGCTGGGTACGGGCGTGGCTGAGGATAATGTTTTAGAATAACCTCCTGCCTCATTCGACATCTCTGACCTCAGATCTTTCGCGCCGCTGTATCTCAACCAGGAACGAAAAACAGACCGAACAACTACCTGCTACGCAGGCTACTGCAAGTAGTAGTGGAGAACTGAACTGCTCCCTAAGTAACTGACGTTTTTGCTGCATTTTGAAATGAAAACTACTGATAGAAATTATAGGTTGTACATTTTATAGCCTCGTAAAGTTCTAAGACCAATATCATTACCGGCTTTGAGTGCATGTAAGCGATTTATGTAAGAGATTGCCGATTAGCTGGCGAGCAAGCTCATTTGGGGATATCGTGAAAAGTAGACGCGCGTGAGGCACGCGAGAAGAGATGCGAAAGCGGGGGTGCCCCCTCGCGGCTCGCTTCGTTCGCCCAAACATGAGAGCCTTATCGCAGGCAGGAGTCCATAACCCGGAGCGTGCAAACCCCATACTAGGCCTATGTCACGGCGTTTTTACTGACCGGTTTATTTTTAGACACATTTTAAGACAATTTTTCCCGCGAAAATGGAATCTCCTGCACGTCCATGAACGCATTCGTAGTATAAGCTATCAAAGAGGAAAACGTAACGTCATTAAAAGGCAAAAGTTATCATTTTTAGGGCTGTATGTTTTCCTGACTAATTTGTGTGACTTTAAAGATACCGTAAAATTTTGAAAATAAGCCCCGGGGCTTATATTTTTAAAAAGCCCTTTTTTGAGGGGCAGATTTTTGGAGGGGCCTATATCCGGAGGGGCTTATATACGGAGGGGCTTATATACGGAGGGAAATTTGCGTTTTAAAATCGGCCAGGCTTATACAGGGGGCGAAATTTACGTCTCAAAATCGATTGGGCTAGCTTATGGTTGGAAGGAAACTTTATCAGTAATTTGCAGAAACTAGCCTTGAGAACGTAGATCTTACTGAAACTAAGCCATGCCTTTCCTTTGTCTATATGGAACGAGGAAATCCAAGCCAAGAGTTAAGAGTGAACTATGCAAACAGCAATATAGTGTGACACATTTTGACTGCAATCATTTGGCACACGTAATAGTTCTTTGGCAAATGCAAAAAAATTTGTGTTACTGTGCAGCTTTTTCTTTGATTTATTTTGAATTTGTGGGCAATTTCCAAGTACAAGCCCCCGGGGGACTATATTTGGAGGGGCGATTTAACGAACGGGTTTTCGGGTTACGAGTTTTGGGAGCTTATATTTGGAGGGGCTTAATTTCGGAATTTTACGGTATTCTAAATTCGCGCCAAGACCGTTCTAATGGGCTCCTGTCGCAGGCCAGATTTCTGCCTTGTTTGAGATACCTGTGGGCATGTGTTAGAAGGCGCGGGTCACTCATTTTAAAATAAAAGTCCCTTATAAAGTCTTACTCGGAGACACTACTACTGCAAATAACGTTTCAGCGAAAAACAGTGCAGTAGCAAGGTTAGATGTATTGGGATGGGGGGGGGATTAATCGCGAGCGCCGAAGGCGCGATCGTCGTAGGGCATGCACCCCTGAAAGATTTTAAAATATGGGGTCTCTGAAAATGTGTTACCGTCGAAGGCCAGGGAACTCACGGAAGTATCAGAAGTCAAGCCCTCGGGCGCCCTTTCCTTTTCCTCGCTTTGGGTGGGGGTTACGAACCCAGCCCAGTCTAATAACCACCCCAATCACTTGTAAAAAATTATAAAACGGGAATGAAGAAGTAAACAAAAGAATAAAACGAAAAGTAGACAAATATATTTCAATATATATATTTTTTGTTTTAAGGATCGGTTTGCCGTGTTTATGATTTGGTACAAGTTTTCATTGTACTGATACAGGACTACAACAAAGAGATCCGGCAGCATTCAACGGTTTATTGCCTGGACTTGGCGATATTTTTATTTTGGCACTCCGATCTTTGCGTGAATCGCTCTTATATTTGGAAAATGATTTACTAGTGCATGAAAGATAGGATAACTAAAAGTAAAAGTGTTGAAAGTAAAGTCATCCAGTTTCTTAGCCTTTATTAAAAAAAATATAGTCTTGCAATAGAGGTGCCTTACGCAAGACGTCTAGCGAAATAAAATGAAATAAAGTTAAAAATAATTATAGCAGCTGAAAATTTTCCTACAAAAGATAAATGGATAATAATATCATAGCATAAATTATTGTAAAATATGGACTTAATGTTTACAATTTCGCTTGGTAACGCATTCCAATTAGAAACTGATCCCTAAACAAACAAACAAACAAAAAAAGGAAAACCCGTCACCCAGGCCACACTGGTCTAGCCTAGGTCCCCACACCCCACGAGGTTTTGTACTCCTCAACCTCTCCCCCAGGGTCTTCTGGTTTTTCAATTTGGCGAGAAGACCCTGGGGACGAGGTTGTGTGAAAATCAAAGTGGCCGCCATCAGAAGGTGATTTATGAATCCTTCAGTTCTTGGTTTTATCTTCCCTCGTGTGATTTGATCAAAGCGACAAGGTCTTGTTACTAAAGGTAAGAAAGTTTTCAATACATTATGGATATATTCAGTTGTGAAAGTGAAATGATAGCGGCTGGCTGCTCGGATGAGAAAACACACACAGATGATCCCGAGTCCTACCACTTTAATTTCGGGCTTCATGTGGGGCCATCAGATCCTAATAACAACGGACCTGAACTTGGTTTCCCAGATAGAAATATCTATCTGCTGTTTTTTAAATTTTTTACGTTTCCAAGCTTATTACGTTGTTTTGTATCTGAAGGCTTCAATAAGCTTTAAACGTAGCTTTTCATGTTTTACTATAATTGCATCTAAATGACCTTTGGTCACCTTTATTCAAAGATTTGTAGTCTTGCAACAGGGTTGCCATCACCCAAGATGACGAACTGAATAAAATGAAATAAAGTTAAAAGTAATGACGTGAAAAAATTTTCTACAAAAGATAAAATGGATAAAAATTCCACGGCATCAATCATTATGTAATATTTAAAATTCATCCTTGACTAAAATATTCAAATAAGACTTTTTTGAATCGATGTGCGGACTTAATGTTAACAATTTCACTTGGTCATGCATTCCAGTCCTTGACAGTTCTACACTTAACACGGACGTCGAGTGTTGTCACGTATTATCTTTGCCTTTGAATACAGCCGTCTCTCCTTGCCCTTCACAGATAGCAGTCGACTTGTACCTAAACAATTTTGAAGATAATAGTTGAATGCAATAAGAGTCTTGTTTAGTTTGTTGTTCAATTCAATTTCCACATTAGTTAAAAAATTATCTGCTGTGATTTCTTAAGGACTTTCTTATTCACATACACAATTGTGAAAGCATTTGACCAACTAGTTGAATTTTACTAAAACTATTATTCCTCTCGCTCTCATGGCCTTCGAACTCATGGGCTATTGACTCAGAGC